TATGCTATGTGTTTTGTCTTTCAGCTCCTCATTCTGAGTGGCTTTCTTTACTTTATCTTCCAACTCTTTTTAAAATTATATTTTGGCAACCATATATTTAATTTTCAAGATCTTTAGATTGTTCTCTGCTTCTTTTCTTTTCCTTTTTTTTTTTTTTTTGAGTTGCAGTCTCACTCTGTCGCCCAGACTGGAGTGCAGTGGCACACTCATGGCCACCGCAGTCTCGACCTGCTGGGCTCTGGTGATCCTTCCGCCTCAGCCTTCCGAGTAGCCGGAATTACAGGCGTGCACTCTCACGCCCGGCTGATTTTTTGATTTATTGTAGAGATGAGGTCTCGCTGCCCAGGCGGGTCTCGAACCCGCGGGCTCAGGCAATCCACTCACCTCAGCCTCCCAAGGCACGGGATTACAGACTGAGCCACCGAGCCCAGCTTGTTAATTTTCTTATAACATCTTGTTGGTTTTCTTTTTGCATGTAATATCATCTCAAATTTCCCTGAGAATATCCTATTTTTATTTCTTATATCTCTTCTGTTCTCTGAATTGTTTCTGTTTTATCTGGGGTGGATTTCTTTGCTACCATACCATTTTTTTTCAATTAGCTGGTATTTGGTTTCTCATTTAATTTTAATAATAGGTGTAGAGACTAAAGCAACTCCGTCTTGAATGCTAATCTACCATGTTGACTTCTGATTAACCCTAGTTCTGGGAATGCCTCTAAGATTTCTGTCATCTATTATTCCTTGTGTAAGAGCATATACTTACTGAAACTCCCGCCCTTAGGTCAAAACAATCTTGATGTTATTGTACTTACCGTAAACTCAGCCCTTAATTATCTACACCTCCCTTCTGAAGCATGTCTGCCTTTTCCCTATGGTGTATAAGCCCTGGCTCTGGGGGTAATGGCTCAGGGATCCACCATCCTGTTTTATGGCAGTCCAAGACATGGCTTCTGTTCCTAAGTTCCTATTAAATGTTTTTTTTCTTTCTTTCTTTTTTTTGGTTGGAGTCTCACCCTGTTGTCCAGGCTGGAGTGCAGTGGCATACTCACGGCCACCGCAGCCTCGACCTGCTAGGCTCTGGTGATCCTTTCCCCTCAGCCTTCCAGTAGCTGGAACTACAGACGTGCGCTACCACGCCCAGCTAATTTAAAAAAAATATTTATTGTAGAGACGAGAGCTCACCAAGTTGCCCTGGCTGGTCTCGAACCCCTGGGCTCAGGCAATGCTCTTGCCACCACTACCAAAGTGCTGGGATGACAGGCATGAGCCACCATGCCCAGCCTTAAAGGTGACTTCATTCCTTAAGATGTGATAAACTTTGCCTCAAATAAGTGTCAAAAACAAACCATGTCACATTAAACTTTTATTGATTTTCCTTCCCCACGAGATAGTAAAGTATGAGAGGATGTTAGGGTCCTGGGTGAAAAAAAAGGTGGAAAAGATATTAAGTATAATGTGATAAAATGAGAATTTATTTATTTTCTTTAGCTTGGTGGTTCTCAGCGGGTGGCCGCTTCTTCTCTTAGGGGACATTTGGCACTGTCTGAAGACACTTTTGGCTGCTGCCACTAAGGACGTTCTAGCATCCAGGGGGCAGAGGACAGGGATAACTGCTAATACCTGGGACAGCCCCACAGCAAAGAATCATCCAGTCACAAGTGCCCTAGTGCTGAGGCGAAGCGCTCTTTTGTACAAAGTGAACACGTTTCATAATACTGAAATGTACACACAAAAATCGTTAAGACAGCAAATCGTATGTTACGTGTAATTCATCACTTTTTAAAACATGGGTTCTTATTTGCTAGGAAAATCCCTATTTACGAGTTAGCCTGATGTTACTTTGATCAGAATAAGAAAATTCGACTTCTATGCTCAGTTAGAGCTTGTTGATTGTTAAGATTGAGGTGTGTGGTGAAATAAAAAAAACAGAGCCCATGTGTGCAGACACACCTTAAGAGAGCCAGCCACGCGACTGTGCCAGGGATCTGCAAACAGTAAACATAACTGATGCCCACTAAGCAACAGACAAAATGTATTGGTATTACAGCCTGGGCAGCATGTGGCCGCCTAAGTGTCATCTCAAGAAGATTGTACACAGGGGAGAGGTCGTTCTCTGTCCCCAAAAGTAGAGTGAACTGCTCAGATAAAGAACAGTAGGCATTCACTTCAGCTGCGTGGTAGATACTGCCTTCTGCTGTCCAAATCAAAGCACAAGCTGGTACACAAACAAAAATAGGCTGAAATCACAAAACAAAAATATGCTTCCTGGAACCTTATGGGTATCCCTTAAGCTTGGTCTGTTTTTTTTCTTTTGTCATCTACAAATGAAGAACTTCAACTTATTCATGATGTCTAACTTCTATTCATTCTAAAGTTGTCAATCTATTCCCTTATGCTTTAAAAGGGTCTTTGAAGTCCTGTTCACAAATACTTTATAGTCTGTCTGGATGGTGGATTCTCTGTTCCTGTGAGCTGTCCTTGGAATGGCTCCCTGGTGGTAATTTCGAGTTTCAGAATACTGATCTGTTGTGGGTGAAAAAGCCTTGACCTTATATATTTTTTTATTTTTATTATTCTTATTTTTTTAAATCAATATTTTTTATTATGATATTGTGGGGTACAGTTAAGGGTTAGGTATACAAATATGCTTCGTTCAGGCACCCTTGTTGATAAAAGGTGTCTCCCCGTCCCCAGACAGGTGGCCTTATATTTTTTAAAAAGGGCATGTGTTGTGGGGGGGCATCATTTTTATGATTAAGAAGGTACATTTCCATGTTTTCTCTATTTTATAGAGAAAACCATGCTTGGATGTGGGCGTGTGAAGGAAGAGGAAGAATGGTGAGGCTGAGCTGGCAGAGCTTTGGCCAGCTCTGTTTCCTGCTAGAGGGTTCAGCTCTGCATGGAAAGTGCTTCACCCACAAAGCTCATGCCCGAGGCTCTGGGATACAAAGGGAGTTTCCATGCAGGGCAGTGGGAAAGTGAGTTTCCAGGGACGTCAGAAGGAGTGGGGGCTCCAGACCCGAGGCCTGGGGATGGGGGCAGGGCTGCAGCTGCAGAGGGAGGGGTCCAGGGAGAAGTTCCTTGTCTGGGGCCGGTGAGCGATCTGAAGGAGGAGGGTGGCGTCCAGTTGGGGTTTTTTTTTAATCAATATTTTGTATTATGATGTTGTGGGGTACAGTTAAGGGTTAGGTATACAATTATGTTTCATTCAGACACCCTGTTGATAAGAGGTGTTTCCCCGTCCCCAGACAGATATTTGCTACCATTGATCCCATCTCCCTCCACCCCCCCATAGTTTCCCACTATCAGTCATTTTCTTATACTATTACATTGGATGTTCAAGGTTCATTATATGAGTGAGAACATGTGATACTCGGATCTTTGTTTCTGTGAGAGGTCACTCAGTATTATAGACTCTAGTTCCATCCAGGTTGCTGCGAAATTCATGATTTTGTTCTTTTTTATGGCTGCGTACTATTCCATCGTGTATATGAACCACATTTTTAAAATCCAGTCCTCTTTTGATGGACAGCATGGTTGCTTCCAGGTTCTTGCTATTGTGAACAATGCTGTGATCAACATACGTGTGCACAGGGAACATACCTCAAAATAGTAAAAGCCATCTGCGAGAAACCCACAGCCAGCATACTCCTAAATGGACAAAAATTGGAACCATTTCCCCTGAAAACTGGAACAAGACAAGGATGCACACTCACCCCTCCTGTTCAATATAGTATTAGAAGTCCTGACTAGAGCAATCAGAGAAGAGAAGGCAGTCAGGGGCATCCAAATAGGAAAAGAGGATGTCAAGTTATCTCTCTTTGCAGATGACATGATTGTGTACCTTGAAAACCCAAGAGAATCTGTCAAAAACCTCCTTACATTGATAAAGGGCTTTGGCAAAGTCTCAGGACACAGTCTGGGTTTTGCTCCATGGCCTTGCCCTTGTGCAGGGTCGGATCCCACTGTGGATGCAAACACTCACGCCCACCCCTGCACTCCCACAAAAGCCATGCAGGACTGGTTTGGAGGAAGTTAGCGAGGAAGGTGAGCACCAGCGATAGCTGGGTTGGCCTAGGGCAAGGAAGGGGATGGGGTGGGGGACGGGCATGGGGGGTGGGGACGTGGGCAGGTGAGACGGCAGGAAAGTCAGGGACTGGGGTGGAGGGGCTGGCACTTGGAGTGGAAGTGACGCGAGGCTAAGTCCTAAGTCCCCAGGCATTCACAGACATTGTGTGGGAAGGACTGACTTCCGGCCATTGCCTTGCTAAGCTACGGTGTGACCGTGTTTTCTTTTCTCTTTTTCTTTTTTGGAGCTGGAGTGGGAGTCTCACTCCATTGCTGGGGCTGGAGTGCAGTGGTGCCCTCATAGCCACCTCAGCCTCGCCCTGCTGTGCTCAAGCGATCCTTCTGCCTCAGCCTTCCAAGTAGCCGCAACTACAGGTGTGAGCTACCATGCCCAGCTAATTTTTGATTTATTGTAAAGATGAGGTCTCACCAAGTTGCCCAGGCTGGTCTTGAACCCGTGAGCTCAGGCAATTCTCTTGCCTTGGCCTCCCAAAGTACTGGGATTATAGGCTTGAACTACTGCATCCAGCAGGCAATGTTATCTTAAGCCTTGGTTCCCTCCCCTACCTTGGAGAGGCGAAACTCCTCTCTCTCTCTAATTTACTTTGCAAATAAACTATATTTTCTAGTCTAAAAAAAAAAAGGAATTGGACTTCCAAGGAAAGTCCAGAGTATCAGAGTGACAGCATGGGCCAGAAGGAGGAAGTTAGTGTAACTTTGGGACACACCAGTGAACAACAGGAGACATAACGTCCACCACCCCCCTTTGGTAATGGGGTGAGGTGCTGCTGAAGACCCCAACATAATGTGGTGAGATTTATTTTTAACTTTATTTTATTATAAAGATGTGGGGTACAGATATATATATATATATATATATATATATATATATATATATATATATATATATTTGGTCTGAAGTCTTCGATTTTATGGTATAGTATGTCTTCGCTTGCCACAGAAATAGTGCTTCCAAATAAAAATAATTTTTCCATGGAATACAAATTCAATTTACTTGTGTATATACCGTTTGTTGACATCTGCCAACAGCAAGTTGTCTGAGGATAAGTTAAACACAGTCATGCCATAAGTGAGTTTATCTTCAGAAGGAGAGAAGCGTGCAAAAACCAACCGCGATACCAGAAAGGGGTCACCGCCTAAACAGAGTCCAGGAGGAGCGCTGATCAGTTCCGGGTGGGGAACAGTCACATGGAATCCAATGAAAGGACGAATGGACGTGTTCCCCGAAGCTTCTATTTCTTTCCTGATTTACTTCTCTTTCCTGTCAAGAGAGAAAATAAGAACATGCTGGCATGTACAAAATGCACGCAATCACCCTAAGACTTTACAAACAAAGGAAATGTCACAGAATGTGCATTTTATTTACTCAGCTCAGTTTTCTGTGCCTGGGACAAAAGTTCTGGAGAACAATCCAAAGGTAAGAAGGCAGCATTGTGTAGAGGAAGGATCCAAGGGGACAGATACCTCTGCGTCTTGTCTCTACCAGTTTACTGGCTGTGTGGCTTTGGGTAAATTACTATTTAACACCGCTTGGAGTTAGATTACCAGTTTATACCATGTGGATAATAACATCATGTTTGCCTGTTGAATTAAATGAGTTAATTCACGGGAAGTGCAGCTATTCCATGCATTTTAGCTGTTATTTTTATTATTCTGAAAAGAGTATTCATGAGTTTAATCACATTCTTTGGAATCTATGTTTTCTGCTCATATTACTTTTTGGAATAATGAGCTTTCTTTGTTTATAACTTATATAATCAAATTCTATTTTCACTTGTCCAGAAGTGACTTCTTTCCAGCTTTGACAGCGATGCCATTTTGTCTAATACTTAAGGATTTAACGCACTAGTCGCTTTTCTTTCTTTTAAATTTAATCAGCCTGCCTCGGATTTTCTTTAGTTCCTTTGTATTTTTCTTACGGTTATAAAACAGTTATAGAATGCTGTAGGGTGATTCTGTGAGTTCCATCATTTTATATAAGGGGAGGGTAGTATTTTTAGTATTTTCTATTGTGTTGGCAATAACTTTACCAACACTAGTCAGTATTTAGTGAGTCTTTTGGACAGCAGCTCTTTAAGTCGGATCTTTATGGAACAATCACTTAGCATTTTCCAAGTGTGTTCTCTGAAGTGCTATTTTATGGGTCTCAATGGATGTTCCATAACAAAGGTTATACTCCCGGAAACACTGAGTTAAGCAAGGGAGTCTGCTCAGTACTCCCTGATATTCCGTGCCCCTGGAGGTGATGCTTCCTGTACTTGTTTCTCCACAGCATCTTCTTCTGGGAATCATCCTCTAAGACACAGTTTGGGAAATGTTGATTTATAGTAAATTCTAGGTTCAACTGATACCTGAAATCTACTGTCTTATAGGAATAGTTTTCCTCTAAGGGCAGTATTATGTGGAAGGACTTTCATTGCTCATTTGATCATTCAAAGACTCTTATGTGAACTTTTTTGCAGTATATCTTTATCATCCTGATAATTTTGCTGGATAGCCATAATTATATCTGTCAAATTAAAGATGGGGTTCTGTATTCTTTTATCAGGACTGCTTTTAAATGCTGACTAGGTAGTGATAGGCAGAGATTCATAGTAGAACAAGCACAAAGTCACACAGCCCTGACTTGGGATCACTGCCCAGTCACTTGACAGCCACGTATTCCTGGACAGTTTGCTGAGCGTCTTTGAATTTCACTTTTCTTATGCTCTTCCAGAGACATGGCTTTCCCCCCCGCAGTCCCCCATTCTCTGATTTCTTTTTTGGCTATTTCTGATGGACTCGATCAAATGAATACAAATCAGTGTATAATTTAAAAACTGAATTTGGCTCTTGATTTAAAAAGTCTAGATTGGGACCCGGGATATAGGTAAGTTTCAAGACCAGAAATCACAAGCAGTTGCTCTCCGTGGTTAAACACTTTCCCTACACGTTTACGTAAGCAAGAAAAGTTGAGTCACTTTTAATCACTTAGGGCTGAATCCTTGGGAGTGGGCAACTCTGAAGAAAGGTGTTCTGGTCCTTCAGTTCACCCCCTACGTGGGAGACTCTCCTGAAGTATTACTATTTGAGCTGTGCAAGGGAGAAGAGCAGGTGAAAGCTTGAAGAACACTTTGATGGTGGCATGGTCACAATTTCACCCCCTGATACTGTTACACTGAAACTTAAAAATCGGCATCTTCATAGTATAAAACAGCCTGGTTAAAATTTGGTACCTAAGGTCTCAAATTCCCCCCTCAGTAGGCTTTCTAATATAAGTTCCAGTAAATGCTAAGTTAAATACCCATTTCCCAGACTTTCTTTTCCAAACCTACTACTAAAAGAAAATGTGAAATTCCCCTTATTTAAAATAATAAATATTACCATATAGCTTCTGAATGCCTTCAATGTCATCTTGTGAAAGTTGGAAATTTTGTTGACTTCCGCTTCCATAGGTTGGATACATCACGGCATTAGGGTCGGAGGAATGTCCCAGGCCCAAAGAATGGCCAAGTTCATGAGTTGCAGCATACAGGAAGTTAATTCCTACAACCGAAGGAATAACATTCAGTATTCTAACAATAGCTACACAAATAATATAATGTCATATATAACATAATACATAATATAATAATAAATAAAACAACTACAAAAATACCTAACTCTCAGTCCTCTGCAGTTTACTTATTTGTTTCAAGACTTTCAAATGTGGGGAAGGGTTAGAAAGGGAATCAGAAGAGCAGTGCTTTAATCTCATCACCACTTTGGCTTCTTAAGATGTATCATGTTTTTCTATTTGCTTCTTTTGTTCAGGTGGCAGTATTCTGTAGTGGGCAGGAAAGGCTTTATTTATTAATCATTTTTTTTGAGAAGTTCTTTTTATTTTTTAGCTGGGTGTGGTGGTGCACCACACCTGACTATTTTAATTTTATTTTTTGTAGAGACAAGGTCTCACTATGTTGTCCAGGCTGATCTCAAACTCCTGATCTCAAGAAATCTTGCTGCCTTGGCCTCCCAAAATGTTGGAATTACAGGCGTGAGCCACTGCACCCAGTCAGCAAAGGTTTTAAAAGAACTAAAACCTGGGTTTGAAACTTACTAGCTGGACAAATTAATTAATGTTGCCAAGTATTAATTTCTTATCTGTTACACAGAGACGACTATTCCTACCCTGTAGATTTGTCACGATAATTAGAGTTTTTCAACATCTGGAAGGTCATGGCCATTCAACGCATAGAGGTGACCTTGAATATCAGCAGAGAGAAAGTTGGCTTCGAGAAAGCCACAACTAAAAGGCAGGTTCTCCAGGCAATGCTGGGCTCTGCCTGTGATTTTGACTCATCCACTGGTTTTACATATATCATTTTCTCTCCCTCAGACTCATGGAAGAGCTTTGCCAGTCTGTGGCAGGTGTGAGCCTGTGAGTTTGAGGGGTGGCCAGAGCGCCAACCGTGCTGCATTAGACGGAAGGAAGCTGCCTTTAACCTTCCTTGAGTGGGAAAAGAGGAGAATGAAGAAAAAATGAAAAAGATGTGCAGGATGAGAGGAAGACCGTATCGCAGCTTTCCATGGTTTGACTGCCACAGCAAGTCACGCTACTTGGTTTGAGCTGTGATGAATTCTCTTTACCTCACACATGGACTGATCTCCCTCTCAGTTAACAGCCTTTAAGAAAATTGTCTCCAGTTAGGATGTCCTATGCCAGCGCACCTCTCTACTTGTTCTCTGCCATGTCTATAATCGCTTACTTTGTACAACGACGAATGTAATAGGCTGGGGTGGGGTTGACTCATTCGAAATATAGTGAATGATCCCAGAATTGTATAAAATTCCTAAATATCATAGTCTCTGCTTCTCTTTCTCCTCCATTTGGGCACTTATTTTTGGGAAATAGGAACAAAGAGCTATAATTTATTGACTTATTAGTATCTCCCAAGCACTGTAGAAACTTTATCTCATTTAATTAAAAAAAATCCTTAGGTGGGGACTATGTATAATCCCATTTCACAGAGGAGGAAACTGAGGGTCAGAGACATTAAATAACTTGCCCAAGAACACACAGAGAGTAACCGGTGGACGTACAGCGAATTGAACCCGGTGCTGCTTGACTGTGTAACCTGAGTGTCCATCTTCTTTGTGACATTGTGAGATATTAAATAAAGTGGTGCATTGAAGGCATGCAGTACGGTGGTGGACACTTAGCAAGGGTTCAGGACTTATCAGAAGCTATAGCAAGTGGTTAGACCAAGTTCAGGACTCAAGGACGTGGGGCAGAAGAGACTGGGGGGGCTGTACCTATGCTGTTCCCGTCACTCCAGCGTTCGTCCTCGTCAAAGTGAGCATCTCCTCCAAGGCCCGGCCCGGGTGCAAAGGCGTGAGCCAGTGTGTTGCCTGGTCCATCAAATGGGTAGTAGTCCCCGTGAGCTGAAAGAAAACGAAGTAGCTGGCTCGGTGGCTCAGCCTGGAATCCCAGCGCTTTGAGAGGCTGAGGTGAGTGGATTGCCTGAGCCGGCGGGTTCGAGACCCGCCTGGGCAACTTGGCGAGACCTCATCTCTACAATACATCAAAAAATCAGCTGGGCATGGTAGTGCACACCTGTAGTTCCAACTACTCGGAAGGCCGAGGCGGAAGGATCACCGGAGCCCAGCGGGTCGAGGCTGCGGTGGCCGGGAGCGGCCACTGCACTCCAGTCTGGGCGATGGACTGAGACTCCAACTCAAAAAAAAGAAAATGAAGTGATTGCCCTTAGCGACTGACTTTTTTTTTTCCTCCGGTCATGATATCTTTCCAGTTTATGTGATAACCAAGGCTGGAAAAAGCAGCCCAGTCCAAGCAGTCAGCACTGTTGGTGCAAACGGCCAGCTGCACGCTCACAGGGTGGTTTGGGCGTCTTTTTGGCACAGACACTTTTTCTCTCATGGAACTGCTGCTCACTACTGATAACCACCCTATAGTAAAGGCCTACTGGATACGGGGCTTGAAATGCACCTAGATCTAACTTAGGGTTGCATCGAAGCTACTGTTCAATTTGACCACTTTGCTTGGTCAAACGGTGGTGAAAGGGAACATGAATATGGCATTCAGCGAGTAATTTGTGCACCATTTTCCGATTCTTTCTTCTTAAAAATCTGGCTTATTCTTTGTGGGCACAGTAAATCATCTCTTGGCGAACCACGCTCAGGGTCTCTTGAAGTGGCTTTTGACAGTCCTTTTATTTGTGAGACAGAGCTATTTATCTTCAAGTTGATATCAGACTGGATCCAGTTTAACTCTTAAAGAAACTCATAGTACTGGCATTAGTGCTTTCCTATAAAATTTTCCCCAGTGTCATCGACACTATGGACTGAAGTTCACATTTCAGCAAAATTCATATAGTACCTGGACAATTCAATATTAGAACAGACCAAAATGGGCAACATTTTCTCTAAGTCTGCGTCACAAAACACTAGTGATTAAGAGTGGTTTATGTAAATGGGCTAGATCTCTTTAGACCCTTGAATATGAAAATCTCCATTTTCTTTCTTTCTTTCTTTCTTTCTTTCTTTCTTTCTTTCTTTCTTTCTTTCTTTCTTTCTTTCTTTATTATTTCTTTCTTTCTTTTTTGAATTGGTGTCTCATTCCTTGGCCCAGGCTGGAGTGCAGTGGCAGGCTCATGGCCACCCAGCATTGACCTGCTGGGCTCCAGTGATCCACTTCAGCCTTCCAAGTAGCCAGAACTACAGTCACCCACTACCGCGCTTAGCTCATTTCTTTTTGATTTATTGTAGAGCCGAGGTCTCGCCAAGTTGCCCAGGCTGGTCTCGAACCCTCAGACTCAGGCAATCCACTCACCTCGGCCTCCCAAAGTGCTGGGATGACAGGCTGAGCCACTGAGCCCGGCCGAAAAATCTTCATTTTCGACTTTATTGCTACACGAAAGGCATTAGAGGCAGGTCATAGTGGCTGTCCCCCTTCTTAGGGGACCTCTTGAGATCTTGGATGCTGTGACTCCTTCTGTTGGTTTAATACTGATGTTAGCTAGATAGAATTTAAACATATATACGTATGGAGTCATGTGCAGCATAACCACCTTTCAGTCAACAAGAGAGCACATGTATAACCATGGTCCCACATGTATAATGGAACTGGAAAATTCCTCACCTAGTGACGTAGTAGCCGTGGTCATGTGATGCAGAATGCATTACCTTTTCAATGTGTAAGTATGTTTCGAGACACGATTACTTGCCATTGTGTTCCAGTTGCCTACAGTGTTCAGTACTGTCACGTGCCATGCAGGCTGGTAGTCTAGGAGTGACAGGCTATCCCATAGAGCCTAGGTGTACAGTAGCTAGTCCGTCTCGGTTTGTGTGAGGACATGCTATCAAGCTCACATAATGACAAAATTGCCTAAGGAGGCATTTCCCAGGATGCATGCTCATCGTTGAGCGATGCATGACTGCATAGATAGATAAAAATTCATGTTACAAAACGGGGGTTGGCAAACTCTTCCTGTAAAGGATCAGATAACCAGTAATGGGAGCCTTATAAGCCACAACTGTCGCCTGCCTGAAAGCAGTCATAGACAACAGCAGATGAAGGAGCATGACTGTGTGCCAGTCCAATTTTATTTACCAAAACAGGGTGGACTGGATTTGCCTCATGGGTCATCGTTTGCCAACTCCTGCTATAAAAAAGTGGCTCTAAATGAGCAGATTATACAAATCGTAACACGATTGCCGAATCAATCGATCCATCAATCATCTATCATCTCTCATTAGACATTCTAAATCCTGAAAAGAGGACAGCACTGATATAAATAATAAACAAATGCAATAGCATGCAGGATTAGTCTACAGGCTTCTTTCTCACCTCCTCTTGCAAAGCCAAGCATGATGTCTGCAACTCCCCATCTGACTCGCTTGAAACGCAGGGGTATCTCTCTGCCCCACATGTTTAAAGCCTTTGCCACTAATTGATCCACTATGGTAGGCAGCAAGTCTCGAGTATATGATATGATCCTAGTAGCAAACAAGAAAACAATATTTGACCTCTTAGGGAAAGGGCTTTGTGGTTTTGGCCAACATGAGCCAAGGCAAAACTAACCGGTAGGTGACGACTTTGGAAGTCCATCTGGGGCTCTCTGGGAACAGCGAGTACTCTGCGACGTCCGGCACGCCACACCTGGGTTTCTGCATTATTTCGACGAGGCGAGGGCTTAGGATTCCAGTTATAGGCAGGCGAAAGAACTTCTCCATCTCCTTGAGTCTGGCTTCTAAACTGTTGGTGGTTTTTGTTTCTGGGTCATAGGAATAAAATCTCTTGAGATAGTCCTATTGAAAAGAGAGTAATGAATCTGTGGTTCTTGTTTCTTCTTTTCCCCTAGAAGTCTACACATTATTTTGTCTTTGGTCCCTATAGGTCCAAGCAATGATTTGCAAACAGAATAATTACATGCTGACTGAGTAACGTAAGTGTGCATTGGTGAGGAGAAAGTTTAATACAGATAATGAAACACTGGCATACCATTTCTTGGGCAAAAGAAAGGAATTCCTCAGTGTTTTTTTTTTTTAAATCCTAGTCAGTGTTTTGAGGAGAAACACTTCATCCACTTTATAAAACCTAGACTTGTTTGTAAGGGCAGTCAGGACGTGTGTACCAGTATGTTCTCGGGGATGACTGAGACCTTTCCTCTCTGTCACCATGGACCCTGTGGGGGAGCTCTGAAGCCATCCAGCCTCATCTAAGATCCTGCTGGGATGTGGTTTCAGCTAAAGGTGAAAGGGTCTTAACCTAGGAGATTCTTTTTTTTTTTTTTGGGTTGGAGTCTCACTCTGTCGCCCAGACTGGAGTGCAGTGGCCGCTCCCGGCCACCTCAGCCTCGACCTGCTGGGCTCCGGCGATCCTTCCGCCTCAGCCTTCCGAGTAGCCGGAATTACAGGCATGCGCTACCACGCCCGGATGATTTTTTGATTTATTGTAGAGATGAGGTCTCGCTGCCCAGGCGGGTCTCGAACCCGCGGGCTCAGGCAATCTACTCACCTCAGCCTCCCAAAGGCACGCCACCGAGCCTGGCTACCTACCTAGGAGATTCTTAGTTGAGCTAGTTTAATTTAATTGTCCAGGTGAAGAAATCAGAGCTCACAGCAACTAGGTGCTTTGCTCAGGTCACATATCACATTAGTAGTAGAACTAAGCCCCCGTATCTCGCTCCCAGTTCCTTTTACCACTCCTTCCACTCCCCAGTTCCTCTTTCCGCTGCTAAGTCCCTGATGCAACCCACTCTGGGAGGGCTGCAGGGTAAGACAGGTCTCTCAGGTCTGTGCCGTGCACAGTTGGGTCCCTGGGAATTTCTTAAAGCTTCCCAGTGTCTGGATGTAAGGATGGGAATCCAGCATCGTAAACACAAAAAGTAAAAAGTGAATGAACTAACAAGAGCAACCTCATAGGAACCTTTTGAAAGCACTTATTAGTTCCAGGCACTTACATATTAACCTCATTTAAACCTCATAACCACCCCACGAAGCAGGTATGGTATTGTCATTCCTATTTTATGCACGAAATCACCCGTGAATAACTGAAGGAGCCAGTATTTGAACACAAGTGTTCTGACTTCCATACATTAGAAACATCTGTAGGTTATAGAATGCACGGTAGTGTGGTTGTTAAAATGATTTAAGCATTGCCTTGCTAATTTGCAGTCTATTTGGAGTAGATGGCAATGGCTACTTGTCTCAGAAGCTCTCAGGAGTATGTAACTTATGTAAGGAATCTTATGAATATAGAGCCCTCTCTTCCTGTTACCAATGATTGTGTTTCATTAGCTATAACAAATCCTTATTGTTCATCCATGACAATTGGTAATTAATTCCTTATTTTAAAACAAATAGCCCTTTTTATCCCTTCCAGAGCAACAGACTCTACCACGACACCCTCTGGAAGAAATCTCCCTGTGTTTCTGAGATGACTTACCCTGCTTTTTGTTCAACCTATCTTCCCTTTAGTTTATTCCAATCCGCACTTTAGGTAAGGCGCTAAATGCAACGTAGGCTTTCTGGAGAATTCGTTAGGTAAAACCATATAAAACTGCTGTTTTGGAGATAAGGTTAAATATGAGTAATTTCATGTGGTTCAATCTGACCTATTACTTGGACTTTTTAAAAAAGTAAATGTAATGTAAAATAAAACTTGACTTTTCATATGCTTAAAGTTCAAGTTTATGAACAATACTTATGAGTAATCATCTCATTATTCTACCAAATAGTACTTATTTATATCTGTTCGACTGCTTATAAGGAGTCTATTGGAAAAGACATGATTTTTGAGCCAGAAACATTCATTCTTGATTCCTATCTTCACCACAAGCATGTGAATCAACTTAACTTTGCTTTTTTCTTTTTCCCAAGACAGAGCTAAGGATCAAATGACATAATGTAGGTGGAAGTACTTTATAACCTGTAATAGTTACATCCATGCTGGTTCGTATTGTTATCACCTTGTTTATTTACTAGGATGCCCTGGGAGGCACCAAACACATAGTATTGTTATTTCCATTGCATACATGAGAAAAACAAAGTCAGAAGTGAATGGTGAATGCCTTGTCTAGCGTCACTGGCATGTGGGAGACCTGTGACTTCTACCCATGTTTCCTGACTTCAGATCTCTCCATCACAAGTAGTCCTCATCTTAAGAGGCAACATTCTGTGCATGCTGTAAAAAGAATCTCAAGTTACAATAAATAATATGAAGAACTTCAATTTACTGAGTATAAGCCATGTTTCGGCTGTTGTGTTAAATGCTTTACAACACCCCCGCTTGGTTGATACTGTATCACCTCCAACTTCCAAATTAAAACCTGAAGCTCAGAGCATAGTGACCTTCCCAAGTTCATCTGCATGGTAAATGGAGAGCTGGAACTCAAACCCAGTCTGAACAGGTTCTAGAACCTGCCCTCTATGGTCCGCTTGATGAAAACACGTATTGCTTTTACAATCAGACAAAAGACTCCAAAGAAAATTCACCACAGAGCTAATCACATGGAAGGTGAAATCGTGGGAAAACTCATTTCCTAGTGTTGACGGCAAGACCAAGGAGCCCCAGGTAAGTGGCTGCGACCTACCTGAGCCTGTTTCCAGTGCAGTTCGCTCATGCCTCCCGCTTCCCGGGGCAGTGGCAGGGCCAGGCTGCCGGGCAACAGACACACAGCGCAGAGCAGGGCAAGTCGCATAGCTGCCGTCGGAGACAATTGTCCTCGGACCTGCGGCTGGCTTAGTGCTTTCTGCTGGAGGCTGGAGAAATTTATATCGCTTCTCAGCCCTGGATGTGGAAATAGGTGACTCATTTGAGTGTTTTCTTTCTTTTCAGTGTCTACAGAACTTTGAAAGTGTGTGTTATTTTTCATTAACTAAAACGAGGAAGTCTTCTGTCCTTATTGGCAGGAAACACACAATGTATTTGTCTTTCAAAGGATTTTTTTTTCTGTCTGCTGCATAAATTAAATCCATGAAAAAACTCATTTTATTTGCCAGAGTTAAATGACTGCTCACTTAGGTCTTTTCAACTTAAAAATTTGAAGGAACATCATTCAGAACATTGTTGCACCATGCATTTGATTTTATTTTTGTGATTGAAAAATGTCTCAATTTTTAATTTGTTCGTTTAACTGAAACAAAACGTATATTCAGACTTTACTAGTGAAAGAAATAACAGATCAAGGAAGAAAAGCGTACATTGGCATGAGGAGTTGAAAAATAAAAAGGCTTGTACAGTATATCTGAAAAGGAATTTTTTAAAAAGTAAAAGATGTTGAAAAGTGCATAAAACATACAAATAATGAAACAATTATTAAGCAAACACTGTAACAGAAATAGAATCAAGTCTAGAAGTAGAGCAGCACCCACATGCTGTGGTTGTTGCTAGAAGGGAAAGACGGCAGAAGGCAGATGGGCGTACTGCTCTGTGGGGGGTTAGGGGCCACCATGGAGCTGGGCTCCATCTCCTCACCTTCTGGCCCCTAAGTGCAACAGTAAGGACTCCCTTCTTTGAGCCTCTTTTTTTGAGTCGGAGTCTCACTCCGGCTGGAGTGCCCAGGTTGGAGTGCAGTGGCACGCTCATGGCCACAGCAGCCTCGGTCTGCTGGGCTCAGGTGATCCTTCCACCTCAGCCTTCCAAGGAGCTAGAACTAACGGCACATACCACTGTGCCTGGCTAATTTTTTGATTTATTGTAGAGACGAGGCTTTGCCAAGTTGCCCAGGCTGGGCTCGAACCCCTGGGCTCAGGCAATCCTCTCTCCTCGGCCTCCCAAAGTGATGGGAATACAGGCGCATTTCCCCATGCCCTAGTTTATTTCTTTTCCCAATGGTCAACACAGTCTCTAATTCTTGGATTGCATGAACAAATACTAAACAAATATCTTCAAGCCTGGGCTTGACTCTTCCTCTACCCTAATTATTCTGCTTCTGATTTCAAAGTAACAGGTTCTTCCAAAGCTTGAACTTCAACTTGGAAATTGCTGCATCCACTCTTTTTCTTCTCGTCACGATCACTCTGGCTGCTTTCCAGCCGACATATGAATGCGTTGGTCCTCAATACACACGATGGTGATTCTCTGCAGAGCAATAAGGACTCGCTAGGTAGACTGTAGTCCGAAGATGAAATTGAGCCTAAGATGTCAACTTAACTTAATTCCCCAAGATCACACAGCTACGTGGCAGTGGTCGCAGTTCCCAGACCAATGCTTTTCTTTCCCACCACACTGCCTTTGCATTTTGTAACAGGGCTGTGTCTTTCATCATAGGGTGTGTTTCTTGGGGTAACCCCATGACTTTTGACTCTAAAACATCAAACGCTCCAAATATGCTGGAGCTGAAAATTTTAATTATTCAGCTCGCTCTTAGACTATCTGCTGATTGGACATTGACCGCCAGCAAAGGTAAAACGTTCAGATCAATTAATTCCATTTGCTCTCTTTACAGAGATGCCTCGATTCTGTGTGGGCATTCGGCAACCCTAGTCAGAGCCTGGCATGTGACAGGTGCACAACAAATGTTTGTGAAATGAATGAATATTTATGGGCTTTACTCAGATCCACTAAAAATGAAGTTATATGAGGTTTTTGCTAGTATTTGCATTGAAGTAAAATCAGAAGGCATTCCTTTAAGTGAACAAGGAAAACAAACCGGAAGCTGGGTGAAAATATTTGCGAAGACACATCTGATAAAGGATAGTTATCCAAAATACACAAAGAACTCTTGAAAGTCAACAGTAAGAACACAAACAACCTGATTTACAAAATGGACTAAAGACCTTTGCAGACACCTCACCAAAGAAGACATGGATGGCGAATGAGCGTGTGAAAAGGTGCTCCACATCGCATGTCATCAGGAATATGCAAATCAAAACAATGATGAGATGCCACTACGCACCTGCAGAGTGGCCAAAATCCAGAACCCCGACAACGCTCAAGTGTGAGATCTGGTGGAAACACAAAATGGTACAGTCTCTTTGTGAGACAGCTGGGTGGTTTCTTACCAAACCAAACCTACTCTCACCACACGACTCAGCAATTGCACTCCTTGGTATTTACCCAAAGGAGATGAAAATTTACGTCTACACCCAACACAGATGGGTGTTTATAGCAGCTTTATTCATAATCGTCAGAACTAGAAACTCCTTTAGTAGGGGAGTGAACTAATACACGGGTCCACCCAAATGGTGGAATATTATTTGGTGCCGAAAAGAAATGAGCCAGGCAGCCACGAACAGGCATGGTAAGACTTTTAAATGCTGTTACAGGGGAAAAAAGCCAATCTGAAGGACTGCCGCGCGGGTGCTTCCAGCCCAGTAAAGGCAAATTCATGGTGACGGTAAAAATATCAGGAGTGGTGGGGAGGGGCGTGGTGGGGTGGAGTGACAGATTAATAGGCAGGGCACAGAGGAGTTTTTTAAAATTTTCTTTTTCTTTTTTTTTTTTTTTTGAGTTGGAGTCTCACTCCGTCGCCCAGACTGGAGTGCCGTGGCCGCTCCCGGCCACCGCAGCCTCGACCCGCTGGGCTCCGGCGATCCTTCCGCCTCAGCCTTCCAAGTAGCTAGAACTACAGGCGTGCACTACCATGCCCGGCTGATTTTTGATTTATTGGAGAGATGGATTCTCACCAAGTTGCCCAGTCTGGTCTCGAACCCGCGGCCTCAGGCAATCCACTCACTTCAGCCTTCCAAAGCTGGGATTACAGGCTGAGTCACCGAGCCCAGCAGACAGTGTGACACGTGATCACAATGGGATAATCCATCCTATGGGGGTTGGGGAATGATCCATATGGGAGGTGGCATTCTGGCTGCATTTTGGAGGAGAACTGGAAGTTCCCTTGGGAAAGGGCATCCCTGGATGTGGGTGTGGGAAGAGCATCCCTGGATGAGTGGAGTGAGAGGCAGGGTCAAGCCAATTTCAGCTTCTCTGGATCCTTTTCAAGATTTGTTATCGTCTATTACATTAAACTTTTAAAAAATTATTATCGTGGCCATCTAAGTAGATGTGAGGTGGTCTCTCACATTTGATTTGTATTTTCCAAGTGACTAGTGAATGATGTTGAGCATCTTTTCATGTATGTGCCCATTTGTATATCTCTGAAGAAATGTCTCTCCAAGTCCTTTGGTCATATTTTTAATTGGCTTCCTTGACTTTTTGTTGCTGGGTTGCAGGAATTCCTTATATATTCTGAATATTAAGCCTTTATCAGATATGTGATCTGCTAATATTTTCTCCCATTCTGTGGATTGTCTTTTTATTTTTTGTGATAACGTCCTTGGATGTGCAAAGGTTTCTCATTTTGATCTAGTCCAATTTGCCTATTTTTCTTTGGTGGCTCACGCTTTTGGTGTCAGAGCTAAGAACCAACTGCCAAATCCAGGGTCACAAAGATCTGTCTCTATGTTTTCTTCTAAGAGTTTTATGGTTTCAGCTTTTATGTTTAGGACTTCGGTCCACATGCTTTGTTTCTGATGACTTTCTTTTTCATACCTTTGATCTCTCCTTGCTGTAGTATAATTTTCTGCTTCGGTGATCAACCAGGCTGCCTTAACTTGTAATCATGTTAAAGGGTAGTCATTCAGCCCTGGGCAGATTCCTTCTGTGCCACAGAGACACAACATTTAACCTCTCTGAATTCCAGTTTCTTCATCTGAAAAATGGAAATAGTACCTTTTTCTTAGGGTTGTGGTTTGGATTCAACAAGAGGATTAAATGTACAAAAGATGTAGCAGTATTTTGGAGGACAGTAAGTGTTCAGGAAATAGTAGCTAGTATCAATGTCATTGTTGTCATATTTATGCTGGCAGTTTTTACGTACTATAATACCCTCTTTATTTCCCATCTATGAGCCTAGGATGGAGATCAGACACGTATACAAGAAAAAATGGAAGGTTGAAATGGTTCTCTTCCAACCATTTAATGGATACTATTAATGTCAATATTTTCTGAGACACAGGGAAGTTATTGTCTTAAATATTTCAATGTGATGTGTCATAATAATCAAGCAAAGCAATCTCCTCATCATAGAAGCGATTAACTTTTAAACAAGAAAAGCACAGGTCTTGATCAATAAAATCTCTGGGCGTACAGTATGAATCACAGAATGTATTCATGGAAAAAAGTCACAAAAATTGAAATAGGATACATTGGATAGGACAAATGACACCTTATTATTGGAATATGAGTTATAAGGATCACACAAGCTGGGAACATACATTGGCCACCTTGTTACCACATGGAGGGGATCTGTGTGAGAATACAGCTGAGCAGAGGTCATTTGATTTCGGATCACATGGTTTGAATCTCCTTATTCCGCCAGACCCAAAGAAAGTTACGTCACTTGGGTTTCTCGATCATGCTGGTGGGTTAGACTTCCCACGCCTTTTGCTTGTTTGCTATGAAGTGAGCTAGTTTGGGGTGGTTTTCTGACACTTTCAACCAAATAAGTTTCATGTGACCCAGCAAGTTATTACTGCATCGATCTTATTTCCAAAGTCACGTGGCTGACAAGTGTAGAGCTGGGATATCAACCCGTTTCCCTAAGCCCACATTCCTTTCAACACTCCATGTTACTTTGCATTAGTTAATTCAGACATTTATCATTCATTCTACAAACATATATTTAGTGCAAATGCCAGGCCACTGTGCAAGGTGCCAGCACCAGGGAGACACAAGCCAGATTTCTTTCCTTTCCTTCCTTCCTTCCTTTTTCTTTCCTTTCTTCC